CCGCCTCTGCCTCCTCCTGTCCCCCGGGCCGGCCCCGAGCGGGGGTGCTCGGGCTGCCCTGGGGCTCACACACCCCGCTCCCCTCCCGGGACTGCTCCTCTTGTCCCCGGGCATTGGCACTTCCCGGGGCTCCGCTGTGCACCGCCGGCACCATGGGCACAGCCGGCCTGGCAGTGCCCCAGAGCCAGCCTGTACCTTCGGCCCAGGCAGAGGAACAGCCAGCCCCTCACTTCACAGGTGTAATCTTTCCAGCCGTGACTTTGCACTTATACTGAGTCACGCCAAATGTTACCCAGCTGTTCCTTTATCTCCTTCTCTGAGGAAAGGTGATTACTGCAATAAACTCTGCTGCTTTGTTTCATGCCAGCCTCTGTTCCCTCGGAGGAGCTGCCTGGAAAGCAGCAGGTGAGGAGGGCACACAGGGCCCGGGTCTGCCCCAGCCATCTGAGGGCACCGTGTCCTTGCCATCCCTCTCCTCCTCCTCCTCCCAGGCAGCTCCCAGCATGGCCTTCAGCCAGCCCCGGGCCATCCTTCCTCCCAAACATCACACCTACCACAGAAAGTGCTGTGGGCAGCCCTGCCGGCCCCTCCGGGTGACACGGGGCATCCCACGGGCACACCCTGCAGCACCGGGGGATGCTCTGCCCAGGCTGATGCACAGCAGAAAGCAGTTCCCACAGGTGTCTGCCTGACCTCCAGCCACAAAAGCCTCAGAGCCTTCAGTCTCCTCTTCAGCACCGCCTTGTGCCAGCCTTCCCTGAGGATCAGGCCACTGCCTGGGAGATGGTGTTCTGCTAAATCAAAAGCTGTAAATTCAGGTGTAGTGCTGACAGATGCGCAAATCCATTCACCACATCTGGCAACGTGTCAGGTGGTGAAGCACAAAGCTCTGCTCCCGAGGGCTGCAGCTTGGATTTGGTGAGAAGGCCAGGGCATCTGCCAGCAGACATGAGGCAACTAGAAAGCTAAAAGGAGGACAGTGAGCAGACACCACAGAAAGAGTGGCCTCAACTGCTGAGCCAAAGGCAAGCACAGTCTCTAAGAAAAGTCTGAACCCAAAGAATGCCCGAGTAGGTGGCCTGGAAACATCCAACGGGGCAAGCTGAACCTCGTATTCCTGTTTTATTGCCTGCCATAAACTGCAAGAATGGTGTTCATCAGCAGAGGAACTTGAGTTAATGATCTCTTGTAAATTTTACTACTTGCACAAAAGGTTTAATAAGAATTTTCAAACCTGCAAATTTGAAATGTATGCTAAAAGCATGGCAACATTTTCTTTTTGAAGCCTGACATTCTTCTAATGCATGGTATGGGCAATAGTAAACAATAGCAACTCCAGACCCTCTCCTACAGCTGTGCTAGCCACAACTGAGGTTCTGAGCAGGGCAGAAAAGCCAGTGCCACAGAACAAAGGAACCTGAAGCGCTTTCCACCTGGAATTCCCTTTTCCAAGCTCCTCTCCGTGCACATGGGTGTGCTTTGGGGATCCTCAGTACCAGATCTCTTCCCTGCCCTGTCCTGCAGAATGAGCAGAGCTGTCCCTCCCCAGTGGCACAGAACAAAGCCCAGGTAGCAGCAGTTCCTTGCCATTTCTTGCAGGGTGCTGGTTCCCCTCCCCTCGGACATGCCACGGTTACATCAGCGTATTGCAACATCACCCTCGCCTGCAGAGGAGTCCTGGGGCAGCCTGTGCACACAGCTTCCACCTGGAGTCACAGAAACTGCAAAGTCAGAGTTCAGTCACAGCTTTACCTGGCACAAACCCAGAGCCAGCAAGACAGCCCCTTCACTCATGGTGCTCTCTGCATCGCCCCTGCCTTCACACCATGCCAGCTTCTTTCCCACTGGACATGTGGGATGGGGGAAATCCTCCAGGCTAAACAGTGGTTGGCTTCTTTTCCCAATGTACTTGTGACTCCTTAACAACTGCCTTCCTCTAGGAAAAATGATATGTTAGGTTGATTTTTTTCCTAAACAGAAGAACTTCTTCCTTCTCTCTGTATCTAGAAGTAGTAGTTGAATGCCCAGTCTAAACTGAGGCATCTATCCAGGTACCTATCCTAACACCTGAATCACCCAATGGCAGATGTGATGAAAATCCAAGCAGCTGAGAAGGAGCAAGGAAAAACAATCAGGACCTTAGCAAGTGTTTTGCACTGGTAACTCTTGGTGACTGCTGGTGCTTTTATCTGCATCAGAACTGGCAGGTTTGGAGGCGCAGTTCTCCACAACTGACTTTTTCCAGCACTTTATCGGTAACTTTCATGGCATGTGTGGGTTAAACCCTGCTTTGAAAGGACTCTACTTCTTTTGGACATTCTGGTATGGTATGGCCATCTATGTCAAGGGAGTTAATGTGTCAAATTTCAGAGAACAATGAGCAGCAAGGCACTGCTGGCTCTAATTCTTCACTGAGTGTTCCTGAGATAGTCCCTGAATCCAAATTTCCAATTTTCTCCCACAGAGCACAGCTAATACTTCACTTTTTCCACCCTCCACCAGCCATCCCTGGACATGGGATGCTGTCCAAGTAAGGCTGTTCCCCATGCACTGAACACAACTGTGGCACCTAAGCAACTGAAGGGGTAAAAATAGGTGCTGAGGTACTGCAGAGACAAATCCCACTTGCTCAATTTCTTGCCCTTGCCATGAAGGAATCTTGTTTTGTATGTCCACTGCCACAGTTGGATTTTTCAGCCTGCAGACAGCTTGTCTGCCCAGCCTAATTTACAGACTCCTGGCCAAGGTTTCATCTCACCTTATCAGTGTATTCAGCATTCTTCAGATCCTGACAACCCACGCCCCTCCCTCGCTGCTTCCCGGGATCCCTTTGTATTCTTGTCTTTATCTAGTGCTGCCTTTTATCCTTCTTGCTTTTTCTTTTTACTATCATTTCTCACCACACACCTTGAGAAGGGTGAGTTTCCTGGAAGAAGGCTTTTGGAAAAGATATCTGAGCAAGCAAGGGAGCCAGGAGCTATTTACATATTTTCTGATAAGCAGTGAGAATGTCCTGATGGTCCTGTGAAGTCCACAAGAATTGGCTTTGTGCTGTTCTGCATTTTCTGCTTGTCTATGCTTGCCCAATTTAATGAACTAACAGTATTAAACATATTTTACATATTGTTATAGCATTCTTTAGAGGAGAAAGCAGTATCCCCGTCTTGAATTTAGTTATTAAAGAGATGATATTGGCAACATTATCAATTTAAATATTAAAATAGCATTTAAAATCATGAAAATAACTTTCAAATAATGATTTTTTAAAATTATTATTATTAATAATCAGTTAATTCCTGCCTGATAGTGTTAGGTTACAGCTGCATCTAAATTCTAATTTTTTTCATGCACCCATTAGGCGAAAATAAGACAGGCTGGGCTAGGAGGTAACTGACTGCCAGGAGAGACCTGTTAGCATGACCACTTCTAAGAACACAGCTGAAGCTCTCCTGGGGGCAGATCCTGAGATTGTAACTGTTTTCACTCTGACCATATTGAAATCAGCCTGTACTGACAACAAGCAGAGTGAAAGCTAAGCCAAGCCACAGTCTGGGGAGGAGAGGAGACACAAGCAGCTGTGAGGGGCTGCCTGCTGCTCTCAGGGAATGTTTGTTGCTCTGCTGGGAACTCTCCTGTTCCCACTAATTTAGTTCTTTCATTTTTCATTAGATACTCAACCTGTAATGACTTTCAAAGCGGTTGATTCAAAGTTTCATCTTACTCACAGCATTTACCAAGCCCTAGCACTTGGCAAATACCTCAAAGACACCTGCTTTGAACCTGGCCTTAGATTACAGTATGAAAACTACCCATTTGGTCAACTAAAGTTGGTTGGTCAGCTGTCAGCCCCTGACAGCCACACCTATCCTGTCTCTGACAGTCACCTGTTGCAGCATCTGCTGCAAGCAGAATAAAGGAACATCTATTAATTTTCACTTCTCTTAATGGTTACAACCAAATCCTGTGATGGTCAAAATTCCTGACTTTTGAAAAGGCTTTTCTATAGGTGCAGTTTGGCACAACACTGACTTTCAAGCAATACAGACATTTGCAAAAAAACCCAAAACATCCAGAAAGGGAGAAATCAGGCAGCAGGCTTCCTTCTAAAGAGCAAATTCCACCACCCCAATCTAGATGAGCTTGACCCTAACACAGCACCTTGAAAACACAAGTGGAGGCCTGAAACACTCGACTCCACACATCCATTTGCTGCCAGGCCAGATCTCAGCCAAAGGCTTACATGTGAAAATCCCGCTTGACTCGGTTTTTGAACAGTTGTTCTCATTCTCATTCTGGTGATCTGCTGCTGGCAACAGTGCAAGTTGTGCGTGTGATGCTTTATTCAGCTAAACATTACGGAGCTGTTCCTTCACCTTGCTGTGCCTGATGCTGGGGGACAGGCAGCACGGCTGACAGATGCACTGAAGTCACATGAACTGTGCAGCTGGCAGGCAGGAGGAGCAAGCTGTGGGGAAAACAACCTCTCAGTGCTCCAGGTACTGCACCAGCATCTCGGAAATAATCACTCTGCGCCATCCGAGGGGCAGCGCTGCGCTCAGAGCGCTCCTGACAGCCTTGACCTTGAAATGGTCCCGAGAGCAGCGCTGAGGAGCAGGAGGCAGCAGCATGTTTGCAAGGAGCTGCACTCAGGCAGAAGGACAAGCCCGAGGCACGTCTGCCACAGCATCGCTGCGGCTGCACAATTCCACAGCTCAGCCAAGCGCAAACCCCCCGCAAGCCGCTCACCGGGGCTGGCTGGAGTGGTCACTCAGCCCCCCAGGACCCAGGGCTGGCTGGAGTGGTCACTCAGCTCCCCACTCACCAGGGCTGGCTGGAGTGGTCACTCAGCTCCCCAGGACCCAGGGCTGGCTGCAGTGGTCACTCACTGGGGCTGGCTGCAGTGGTCACTCCCTGGGGCTGGCTGCAGTGGTCACTCCCTGGGGCTGGCTGCAGTGGTCACTCAGCCCCCCAGGAGCAGCAGCCCAGCCGAGCAGCCCTGGCTCTGTTATCTCTGCCCTCGCTGCACACAGCTCCTGCCTGGCTCTTACCTGCCAGCCTTCACCCAGCCTGCATCAGCGTTTTCTTGAGGCAGGATGGCATTCATCCTGATGGATGCTAACGAGGTGTTTCCCTGGAAAAAAGCGAGGATGCTTGTGGAGTTCTACTTTAAGAGGATCATTGTCTGAAAAGTCACTGCAAAGCTTTCCAGAGTCCCTGGGATATTTTTATACTCATTCATTATAAGATCTACCAACTGCTACAAAATGGCAAGGGCTGCAATAAGAGCATTACACATTAATGATGGCTTTAATTATGTACACAATATCTATGCAAATGCAAGATAGCATCTTCTGTAAGAAAGGGTTGGTTTGTTTGCTTCTTATCATCACAGTCTGGAATCTTAGTACTTCTTATGATGCAATATTAATTTGGTTAGACTTAATTGAATTACTTTGGTTGGTAATTAAATTAACATGTCTTAAATTAAAATAACCAGTATCATCATGAAGTATTTCTGTCACAGTGGCTCCTAAAATATTACAGTGAAGACTAGATCCCTATTGTTCAAGAGGCTGTGAAAAAAAAATGCGTAAGAAAACGGGGCCAGACAAACCCATCTGCCTCTTGATGTGAGGAGGCCACTGCTGAATGGCAGGCACCTGCACAGTACAGGTACCTCTCCAGCACCAAAAGCAACATTTTTCTCAATCTCATCCTAGTTTAAATACCTTGACCTGAGTGTCATGTCCAACATTATACCATAAACCACTAAAGCAGTGCTGGTTTCACTGCTTTTCTTTAGCTGTTTCAGTGTGTTTGGTTAAGTCCACGAGCACCAGAGGGCAAGTTCATAGTGATGATTTTCCTGTACACCCCAAGCCACTGAGAGATAAAGTAACTTGACCAAGACAGTGGTTAACTCAGTGGCTTGCCCTTATTTGTGGTGCTGCTGTAGCTGGGCTCCTGTTTGAGCAGGATTAAACAGATCAGTGACTTTTTGAGTCACTGGCACAATCAGGAGAACTCCAACATCCTGCCACTGGCAATGATGCTTAAGGCACAGCACACCAGGCAATGGGGGTCTTTGGCTTTTCTGCAGGAGCAGCTTCCCCTGTCTGGCCAGCCAGGCTTTTGAGACAAAAAGCAAGCATTTCCTCCAGATTAACACAACACTCGTGGAACTACACTGTTTGCTGAACAATGACTATTACAGAGTATCATGAACAAGGTGCAGCGTTACACCTACACTGAAGAAACAGAACCAACCCCTCAGATTGCCAGGACAAAGGTTACCAATACAACTCCAGCTCAGCCCTCTGCAGGCTGTGTGTCACAGTCTTGATTCCTTATTTCTCCTGCATTAATTCGTCAGTGAAGCTCGAGCCCACTCTCTCCCTGCAGCTCTCAGGAAGAGGTTGCTTGCAGTCTCTCTCTTTCAGCTGGATGACAAGGGAAACATTCAGCGTGGGCCAGGAGAACACATACCCAACAGTGAGTTACACAAGCTGTTGTGAGACAGTACTGGAATGTCAGCAAACAGGATCTTTGGGTCTAGCTCCAGCTCTGGAGGCAGACAGTAGCCTAAGTCATCACAAACATGAGGCCCCACCACACTAGCAGGTAGCTTTCCTTTGAAAGGTGATATGGCAAAGCAGATGAGCCCTGCTGCTCTCCAGGCCAGGGCTTCATTCCCAGCTCTGTACACGGCCTGCACACTGCAGCTCATCTGCAGAACAGGTGCAGGACCTCTGCCTCCCACCAGCAGGGATAAATGCCCTGTGTGAGTGCCTGTGCCAACAGCAGCGGTGGAGCATGTGGGATCAGACATCACGGCCCTCTGGGCAGCAACAAACAGCATTGTGACTGTGTCTAACTTCTCCCCCTGCACTCGCCCTTCCCCTGCCATTGTGTGGGGTGGCAGGCTTGCCAAATGTGTCAGAGCCACATGAAATGCATGACACTTGTGACCTTGCCCTCGTGGCCCCCAGGCTGACAGTCAAGTCTAAGACACAGACCAGCCCAAAAGGAAATGAGGAAGATCCCACCCATAACATAAACGACTACAGCACCAGTCTCAATGTGTTTGTTTATTCTGCAGATTTTAAGATGGGAAAAACCCCTGTAACAACAACCAATCTTGTGAATTCTGTTCTATGTATATCAATTCTCTTATACGTGAACTCTGCATGTGCTTGTTGATGTCAATGCCCTGTAACCAAGAGCCACTGCTGCCTATCACACACAAATCCTCATTATGTTGCATAACAAATTACCTTTGTTGCCTCGCAGAATGGCACAGTAGATTTTGTTGTTGCCTCGTGTAAACTTTAGTCTTGCGAATTCCATTTTGCACTGACACACTGCTGCTGCCTGACAAGTGCTTTATTTCTGGGCTCCACGATGCGCAGGCGGCCACAGAGCCTGAAAAACAAGTTCAGAAATACATAAATACGCCACCACTATGTCTGCAAAACAATCAGCCACGTGGATCCTGGCTGCTGGAACACTGGGCTTAGAGGCTGCAGCTACACATGCTGGGAGGCAGCACCGCTGCACATTCATCCCTCGTGGTCATCTGATCTTTCCAGTTACAAGGAAGAAAACAGAGCATAAAGAAACAAAGAAAGTGGCAGAACAGCAAAGGAATTTCAAACCGACAAAGAATTCATGGTGTTGGCATTTTAATGCTATACTACTGCCTTTTTAATGGATTTATCCAACACTGTCTCCCGTTTTTAGTGTTTTAAGTACTGTTTCTAACTAAAAACCCTTAGTTACGATGTTCATCTATTAAAGAACAAAGTGTGAAAATGTTAACAAATTCATCCATATGATTGCAAAATGTTAAGCCTCACTAGACACCGAGTCTTCCTTCTTTATACATGTTCAGCACATATTTCAGGAGAAGGAAAACATTTACTGCCAGGCTTCAAACAGTGTTTCCTTTCTTAAATCGTTTTAGTTGGCAGCTTTTTCTGTTGGCATATGACCAATATTCTGGAAAAGTGGGAAAATAGCGGTGATATCTACAGGCCAGATTTTGCCACTTCTTAAAATGAGTAATGCTATCGTATTTTCATATGTCCTGGCCATTCCCTCTACTCAGAGCACTACTGGAAACTCACTGATAGCTGCTCCCTACTTTCCTTGGACAGAATCCAAGCAGGAAGAAAATCTAGGCATTGCAAGGGCAGATGTCAATAAAGTCTGAGAGCTGGCCTGTTGGGATAACCCTAAATAAGGATAATAAAATCTGGATGCTAGTTTATTTAAAACCACACATTTTGCCGTCCCCTCCTAGTCCTCTGAGAAATGTATGTTCCAATCTCCCTCACACACTCATCTCCCATGCACTCTCCAAATTCTTTAGCTGCTTTTTAGTTGAACCTGCCCTTTCATCAGTGCTCCTGTCACCCCACTGCTCACCCCATCTCCTCCATGGCCAAGCAGCAGTCATCAAATAAATCACTGGAGACATTGCTGGACAATGGGTGAATGAATTACTGCTGAGGGATTGGGTTTTGCCTCTGTTTACTGGCTGTAGTTAGAAACACTTGAAGCCAAATTTCAATTACAGGGATAAAATAAAGGCCAGCCCAGTCTGGGCATTTTAAGAGATAATTGTATTTCAGTAAAGCACTAAGGCACGGCTGTTTCCAGACATTGCTGCTCACAGCTAATGGTGCTGGTACAAAATCCACCTCCATATGACAGCTTTGGAGAGCTGTCATGGGAATGAGTGTGGTCAATGGAGGCAGCAGGGTGCCTGGATGCTTGAGGTACAGGACAGAGAAACAAAAAAATCTTTGTGGGAACCTCAGGTATGTGAGCACTGTAATTACATTGCTGTTATAACAACTACTCCTTAGCTCGTAGCAAAATATCGTGAGCAGTGTTAAGAGAGAGGGAGGGAGGGAGG